TAGAAGGAGAAGTGATGGGGGCACAGATGAGGAAGCTCTTTATCTCAGCATACATCTTCGTGGGAAAAAAAAAAAAATGGCTGGGTGTGGTGGCTCACACCTGTAATCCCAGCACTTTGGGAGGCCAAGGCGGGCGGATCACCTGAGGTCAGGAGTTCTAGACCAACCCTACCAACATGGAGAAACCCTGTCTCTACTAAAAATACAAAATTAGCTGGGCGTGTTGGCGCATGCCTGTAATTCCAGGCTGAGGCAGGAGAATCGCTTGAACCCGGGAGGCAGAGGTTGCAGTGAACCAAGATCATGCCGTCACACTCCAGCCTGGGCAACAAGAGCAAAACTCGGTCTCAAAAAAAAAAAAAAAAAAAGCTGGGCGGTGCTGGCGCATGCCTGCAATTCCAGGCTGGAGGCAGGAGGAATCGCTTGAACCCGGAGGCAGAGGTTGCAGTGAACCAAGATCATGTCAGGCTACACTCCAGCCTGGGCAACAAGAGCAAACTGTGTCTCAAACAAAGAGAAAGGTCAAAAAAAAAAAAAAAAAAAAAAAAAAAAAAAAGAGAAAAAGGAAAAAAAAAAAAGCCAATGTAACCACCCAAAAAAATTAGGACAAAATTTAAAACCCTTTGAACAAGTAGAAATATTCAGAGTATGGCGGTGAATACAAAGGCAGCCTGCTGATGAGAGAAAGAGCCTAGGCTGTGGAGCCCGTCACACCTGGGGCTGAATCCTGATTCTGGTCCTCACCAAGGTGGGGGCTGGGTCAGGCCCAACCTCCAGGGCCCGCTTTCCTGCCTGTAAAACAGGGATGATGTTTAGCTCACAAGCATTAGAGATGGTATGTGTGAAAGTACGTAGCAGCATCTGGCCCATATTGGGTAGTACATAAATAACAACTAATATTATAATTTATGTGTTCAATAAACTGAAAAACAATGTTCACAAAAACAGGACAGCACTTTTCAAAATTCTAGGGGTATTTTGAAAATATATACCCAGCTCTGGAACCTATCAGCTATGTGGCCTTGAGCAAGTGACTTAACCCCCTTATGCCTCCATCCTATGCTGTTCAATGGAATTCATGCTATTGCTAACTCTTGGAATTACTGTGAAGATTAAATGTGTTAATATAGCAAAGAACTTAAAACAGGGCACTTGGCTGCTGGCTAGAGTTCCCACCGTGCCACCAGGTCAGAACACCTTTTTCCTTCTCTCCCTTAGAGGATATGTCCTGAAGATCTCAGGTATAGACCCAAATGCCTGCTGCTTAAAAAGCTTCAATTCCGGCCGGGTGTGGTGGCTCATGCCTGTAATCCCAGCACTTTGGGAGGCCGAGATGGGTGGATCATGAGGTCAGGAGTTCGAGACCAGCCCAGCCAATATGGTGAAACCCTATCTCTACTAAAAATATAAAAATTAGCCGGGCGTGGTGGCGGGTGCCTGTAGTCCCAGCTACTCGGGAGGCTGAGGCAGGAGAACCGCTTAAACCTGGGAGACAGAGGCTGCAGTAAGCCGAGATTGCGCCACTGCACTCTAGCCTGGGCAACAGGGCGAGACTCCATCTCAGGAAAAAAAAAAAGAAAGAAAAAGCTTCAGTTCCCTCCTCATCTAACCCTTTCCCCATTTAACCAGATGATCAGTTCTTATACTCTTAAACCACTGATAATCATATCATTATGAAATTATTGACTCTTTTTTTCCCGCCACCAAATGCTCTATTAGGAGAAAAGCCAGTTAGCTGTCACCCTGACAGTTCTGAGTTTTGGGGTCACCAATGTCTCTACTTTTCATTCAACCCACTCTTCCATCAGGGAGGAGACAAGCCCCTCAGTCAACAAATCTAAGTCACAGATAGCAGGAGACCCCAGACCCCTTCTATTAGCTTTGGATCTAGGCCGTCTCCCTGCTAGAGTGAAGCTGAGAGTCATTCTGGGCAGGCTGGCTCATCAGCTGAGAGCAACTCTGGGCAGGCTGGCTTTTCAGGTGTGCAAACTGTGCAGGGCTGTGAGCTCTGAAGGACCCTATATTGGTTTAAGGCTCTGCCGTTGCCATTTTGAAATTATTTTTTGTTTTTTGTTGTTGTTGTTTTTGTTTTTGAGACAGGGTCTCACTCTGTCGTCCAGGCTGGAGTGCAGTGGCACAATCTGAGCTCACTGCAACCTCCGCCTCCCGGGTTCAAGCGATTCTCCTGCCTCAGCCTCCCAAGTAGCTGGGATTACAGGTGCCCGCCTCCATGCCTGGCTAATTTTTGTATTTTTAGTAGAGATGAGGTTTCACCATGTTGCACAGGCTGGTCTTGAGCCCCTGACCTCAGGAGATCTGCCCTCCTTGGCCTCCCAAAGTGCTGGGATTACAGGTGTGAGCCACTGCACCCGGCCTTTGAAATTCTTTTTAATAGAGGCCTCACATTTTTAGTTTGCACTGGATTCCATGAGTTGCATCGCTGGTCCTGGTCAGGCGTGATGACGTCAAGCTTTTATGTTAGTATCTGTGGGGTCACCTGAACAACCTGACCCCATTTCTTCAACCTTCTGCTGAGGCAGAGTAGCTAAGGCCACTTCTTAAATTGAAAGGCTCTTACTTTAAGCACATTAATCAAAAATGACATCAGATGAAAAAATATACTTGAAAGATAAAAAGGAACTGATAACAGTTAACTCCTAAGAGGAAGTAGTACTTTTTTTTTTTTTTTTTTTTTTTCTTGAGATGGAGTTTAGCTCTTGTCACCCAGGCTAGAGTGCAATGGCACGATCTTGGCTCACTGCAAACTCTGCCTCCTAGGTTCAAGCGATTCTCCTGCCTCAGCCTCCTGAGTAGTTGGGACTACAGGAGCCCGCCACCACGCCCGGCTAATTTTTTGTTTGTAGTAGAGATGGAGTTTCACCATGTTGGACAGGCTGGTCTTGAACTCCTAATCTCAGGTGATTCACCCGTCTCGGCCTCGAGAATTACTTTTTACTACATAGCTTTTAATATTACTCAATGTTTACCATCTCTATATATAACCTTTCAAATGAATTTAAGGAAAGATTTTCAATCAACATACCAATCAGTCTCTATCTCTCCACCAAGTCTCTTGTTTCCAGAGCAGCTGTCTTTGGCCAGCAAATGTACTATAATGGATACAACTGTTTTATAGTGCCTCAAAGAGCCCTGAAGAGAAATTACTTCCCATCAGAAAAACTTTCTGATGGGAAATTTAACAGAGAAAGAGCCAATAACAGGAGCTGCAGGCCGGGCGCGGTGGCTCACGCCTGTAATCCCAGCACTTTGGGAGGCCGAGGCGGGCGGATCACAAGGTCAGGAGATCGAGACCATGGTGAAACCCCGTCTCTACTAAAAAATAGAAAAAAATTAGCCGGGCGCAGTGGTGGGCGCCTGTAGTCCCAGCTACTCGGGAGGCTGAGGCAGGAGAATGGCGTGAACCCGGGAGGCGGAGCTTGCAGTGAGCCGAGATTGCGCCACTGCACTCCAGCCTGAGCGACAGAGCGAGACTCCGTCTCAAAAAAAAAAAAAAAAAAAAAAAAAAAAAAAAAAAAACAGGAGCTGCAAAATTTATTCGGTGGTTCCCTGTTGCTTTATAAAAAGTATTTAGGCGGGCATGGCTCACGCCGTAATTCCAGGGCTCACGCCCGTAATTCCAACACTCTGGGAGGCCGAGGCAGGTGAATCAGCTGAGGTCAGGAGTTTGAGACCAACCTGGTCAACATGGTGAAACCCCATCTCCACTAAAAATACAAAAATTAGCCAGGTGTGGTGGTGCACGCCTGTAGTCCCAGCTACTCGGGAGGTTGAGGCAGAAGAATCACTTGAACCCAGATGGATGTTGCAGTGAGCAAAGATCACGCCACTGCACTCCAGCCTGGGCAACAGGGCAAGGCTCTGTCTAAAAAAAAAAAGAAACAGACTATTTGGATATAGCTGCTGCTTTGGACTTGAAACAATAGCATTTTTCTGTGAACACTCAAGGATAAGAAATTCATGAACAGAAAAAGCAATAACTGGCTCCTACTTACTTGCAGAGTTAAGAAATGTAAACTATAATTCACTGTATATTTGGTGATAGCATCTCACACCTTTGAGCTTTGGACCCTTTCTTATTTTTATTTTTACTATTATTATTTTTTTGAGACAGAGTCTTGCTGTGTCACTAGGCTGGAGTGCAGTGGTGCAATCTCGGCCCACTGCAACCTCCACCTCCCGGGTTCAAGCAGTTCTCCTGCTCTAGCCTCCCAAGTAGCTGGGATTACAGGCATGCACTGCTACTTCCAGCTAATAAAATTTTGATTTTTTTTTTTTTTTTTAGTAGAGACGGGGTTTCACCACGTTGGCCAGGCTGGTCTCCATCTCCTGACCTCGTGATCTGCCTGCCTCGGCCTCCCAAACTGCCGGGATTACAGGTGTGAGCCACGGCAGCTGGCCCCCTTAATTTATAATCACCTTACTCATGATGAATTCCTGGACTTAACGTATCATCATCCCTCATTTATAGAGTTAAATATAGAAAAAAAGAAGTGCCCATGCAGAATATATAAGAAAGCCAGCACCTACAAAGGGACTGAAAAATGCTTCTGGTCATTGGTCCAAAAACTATGAAAAAATCTCTTCCTTCTTAATCTCCAGTCAGGGGCCAACAAGTACTCATGAGGACCCACAGGAACCACAAGCCCTGGTTCAGTCCAACAAGGCAGAGAGGCCTCAGAAGAAAGTCCAAGCCTCATACAAACCTGCACTGACCACCCTGGAGAGATCTACCAATTCCCAGAAGAGCTCTTGTCTGAGAATAGGTGCTAAATGAATTTACATAATGATGGAGTGCGTACAATTTCTAATCAAGATATTGGCAATTTTGCCCAGAGAGAACATAATCTGAGATGCCTGCACTAACTTGTTATATTTATTAACCCATTTATTAACAAGAAGTTGGTATCCTTTGCTACCAAAAGGGAAGAAAAGGGGAATAAAACAAATATGTAGTTACTAAGAAACCAAGTAAGACAAACTAATCAGAATGCAGTTTATTGACAAGATAGGTCACAAATACATCATTTATAAGGAGAGAGGGGACACGAACGAGTCCAAAATCTTATACTCTGCACAGCAGCCCAGCAGGGATGTCCTCTCTAGAGATGGTTTATCAAGGGTACGCCGTGAGAGGGCAGCTCCTGATGCAGCTGCCGGAAGAGCATCGCACACCGGTTCCTCTCCTGAGTCTTCCCCAGGGTGTGGTAGAGTCTGGCCTGGAAGTAAACGACATCCCTGATTCGCTCTTTGCAGTCAACCTTTGCAAAATAGTTCTTGGCTTCATTGAGGTTCTCAATGGCGGCCTCCAGAGCTGATGGAAAGTGGGGAAAATAACACACATTTAACTCAACACTTCACATACAGTTTTCAAAACTTGGTATTTAGTTTTATTTGTTCAACAAGTACCAGAAGATTCTTTTATATTCTCTTTTCTTTGAGAGAGAAAAAACAAACCACTAGGTAGGGTGAGGTTTTCAAAAAGGTCTTTAACACTGGGTGCGGTGGCTCATGCCTGTAATCCCAGCACTTTGGGAGGCCGAGGCAGGTGGATCACCTGAGGTCAGGAGTTCGACAGCAGCGTGGCCAACATGGTGAAACCTCGTCTCTACTAAAAATACAAAAATTAGCCAGGTGTGGTGGCGGACACATGTAATCTCATCTACTTGGAAGGCTAAGGCAGGAGAATCACTTGAACCAGGAGGCAGAGGTTGCGGTGAGCTGAGATCACGCCACAGTACTCCACCCTGGGTGACAAAGTGAGACTCCACCTCAAAAAAACAAAACAAAAAACAAAAAAAGCCAGGAACAGTGGCTCATGCCTATAATCCCAGCACTTTGGGAGGCTGAGGTGGGCGGATCACGAGGTCAGGAGTTCAAGATCAGACTGACCAACATGGTGAAAGCCCTACTAAAAATACAAAAATTAGCCGGGCATGGTGGCGTGCGCCTGTATATACTTAGGAGGCTGAGGCAGGAGAAGCACTTGAACCTGGAAGGTGAAGGTTGCAGTGAGCCAAGATCGCGCCACTGCACTCCAGCCTGAGCAACAGAGCGAGACTTTGTCTCAAAAAAAAAAAAAAAAAGGCCAGGCCTGGTGGCTCACGCCTGTAATCCCAGCACTTTAGGAGGCCGAGGCAGGTGGATCACGAGGTCAGGAGATCAAGACCATCCTGGCTAACACGGTGAAACCTTGTCTCTACTAAAAATACAAAAAAAAAATTAGCCGGGCATGGTGGCGGGCACCTGTAGTCCTAGCTATTCAGGAGGCTGAGGCAGGAGAATGGTGTGAACCCGGGAGGTGGAGCTTGCAGTGAGCTGAGATCGCACCACTGCACTCCAGCCTGGGCGACTGAGCAAGACTCCGTTTCAAAAAACAAAAAACAAAAACCAAAAAATGGTCTTTAAGTCCTGACTTCTAGCCCGGTACCTGGCTCTATAGGGTTAAAATAACCATTCACTTGTCCTCAGTCTTCCTGCCAATCATGCATATGAAAGCACTTTAAATGCTGCATGAAATTTTAATATATATTTGTGAACACTCAGAACTTAAATGCTGTTCCAAATTTAATGTCTTTTCTTTTTCTGGGTCCTAAACTTTCAATGCTTTCTGGAACAGCATTGCCCAACAGTCTTTGTACAGCTTCTTACCTTCTGCTTTCTTCGGCTGATCATAGGAAGCTGCTGAAGCCACCTGGCACTTGGCCACTAAGAACATGGCACGACCTTTGTCCAGGATAGCCCCGTCAGCCAAGATGGGCTCAATGGCCATATGGAGAAGACTTAAGGCCTGTTCTGGGATTCCAAGAATGAGCTGAAAAAGAAACATTACGGCACTGTACATACCCAAACCCACTGCCCTTCACCAGGAAAGGCTTCATTTCTGGCAGTTCTCTCCTGAATGGCTATCTCTGGCTTATCTTTTACCTGACATGTATACTACATTAAAACAGGCACCACACTCCTAGAAAACACAATCTGTGACAATCTGATTTCAGACTATGACAAATACAGCAGGGAGTGGTTATTCACACTATGGAAAGGTTTCCGTCTTTACAAAAAGATCCAGCATTAATATCCTTTAGCTTGGTGATTCTGAGGGGTTGAACTAGGTGGGAGAAAAGTAACAATTCGGAAAATAGCTCAAAAGAATAGAGCAAAAGAAACAAGAGATTCCCGTTGGTGTTAGTATGTTTAAAAAAAAAAAAAAACAAAAACAGAGAAAATGGTACACTAGAGCTGGGCACAGTGGCTCATGCCTATAATCCCAACACTTTGGGAGCATTAGGCAGGAAGGTCACTTGAGGCCAAGAGTTCAAGACCAGCCTGGGCAACATAGCAAGACTCTGTCTCAAAAAACAAATTTAAAACCATTAGCTGGGCATGGTTGCACATGCCTGTAGTCTCAGTTACTCAGGAGGCTGAGGCAGGAGAATCACTTGAGCCCAGGAGGTCAAGGTAGCAGTGAGCCACAATCGTGCCACCGCACTCCAGCCTGGGCAACAGAGCAAGACCTTGTCTCAAAATAAAATAAAACTAGAAAACATCTATTTAACACAAGAAGGCAGTAATGGAGGAACTGAGGGACAAAAAAGATATGACATATAGAAAACAACGCAGGTGCAGTGACTCATGTCTGTAATCCCAGCACTTTGGGCAGTGCAGGTGGGTAGATCGCTTGAGGTCAGGGGTTCAAGACCAACCTGGCCAACATGGTGAAACCCTGCCTTTATTAAAATTACAAAAATTAGCCGGGCATAGTGGCGCACACCTGTAATCCCAGCTACTTGGGTGGCTGAGACAGGAGAATCACTTGAACCCAGGAGGTAATGGATGTGGTGAGCAGAGATTGCACCACTGTACTCTAGCCTGGGTGACAGAGTAAGACTCCATCTCAAAAAAAAAAAATTGCACCACTGTACTCAGCCTGGGTGACAGAGTAAGATCTCAAAAAAAAAAAAAAAAAATTCAAAATTAGCACTAGAAGTAATGACATTAGATGTAAAATGATACACCTTTTTTTTTGTGTAACTGAAAATGGCTGAAAGGGCGCGGTGGCTCAAGCCTGTAATCCCAGCACTTTGGGAGGCTGAGACGGGCGAATCATGAGGTCAGGAGATCGAGACCATCCTGGCTAACACGGTGAAACCCCGTCTCTACTAAAAAAATACAAAAAACTAGCCGGGCGAAGTGGCGGGTGCCTGTAGTCCCAGCTACTCAGGAGGCTGAGGCAGGAGAATGGCATGAACCCGAGAGGAGGAGCTTGTAGTGAGCTGAGATCCGGCCACTGCACTCCAGCCTGGGTGACAGAGCAAGACTCCGTCTCAAAAAAAAAAAAAAAAAAAAAAAAAATGGCTGAAACTGTCGGAAAAAAATTTTTTAAGTATACACTATATACTGTCTACAAGAGACTCACTTTAGATTAAAAGACACAAATAGTATTTTAAAAATTAGTCAGGCATGATGGTGCTTTCCTGTGGTCCTAGCTACTTGGGAGACTGAGGTGGGAGGATCCCATCAGTCCAGGAGCTCAAGGTCACAGTGAGCTATGATTGCAGCACTGCACTCCAGCCTGGACGACTGAGTGGGACCCTGTCTCTAAAAAAATAAAATAAAGACACAAATAAGCTGAAAGCAAAAGGATAGAAAAATATTCCATGCAAACAATAACCAAAAGAAAGCTGGACTGCCTATATGAGTATCACACAAAATAGAGTTTAAGTTAAAAACTGTTGCCTGTAATCCCAGCACTCTGGGAGGCCAAGGCAGGTGGATCACAAGGTCAGGAGATCGAGACCATCCTGGCTAACACAGTGAAACCCCGTCTCTACTAAAAAATACAAAAAATTAGCTGGGCATGGTGGCGGGCGCCTGTAGTCCCAGCTACTCGGGAGGCTGAGGCAGGAGAATGGCGTGAACCTGGGAGATGGAGCTTGCAGTGAGCCGAGATCGTGCCACTGCACTCGAGCACTCCAGCCTGGGTGACACAGCGAGACTCCGTCTCAAAAAACAAAAAAAAAATTGTTACAAGAGACAAGGAAAAAGGAGGACATTATATACTCATGAAACAGTCGATTCATCAAGATACAACAATTATAAACAAACAAACAACAGTGCTCCAAAACATATGAAACAAAAACTGACAGAATTGAAGGGAGAAATAGACAATTCAACAATGATAGGCCAGGCACAGTATCTCACGTCTGTAATCCCTGCACTTCGGGAAGCTGAGGCAGGTGGATCTCTTGATACCAGGAGTTTGAGACCAGCCTGGGTAATATGGCAAAAACCTATCTCTACAAAAATACAGAAAATTAGCTGGCTATGGTAGGGCACACCTGTAATCCCAGATGCTCAGGAGAGTGAGGCGGGAGGGTCACCGGAGCTCTGGCAGTTGAGGGTGCAGTGAGCCATGATTGTGCCACGGCATTCTAGCCTGGGCAACAGAGTGAGACTCTGTCTCAAACAAAATAAAACAAAACAAAAACCAACATAATAGTTGGGGAGCTCAATATCCCACCTTTTAATCACCGATAGAAAAATTAGAAGATCAGCAAGGAAAGAGAAGACCTGAATGACACTACAAATGAACTGGCCCTAATACAGATATATAAAGTATGCCACCCAATGATACATCAGAATACAAGTTATTCTCAAGTGCATATGGAACATTTTCCAGGATAGACTGTGTTGGGCCACAAAATAACACTCAATAAATTTAAGAAGAATGAAATCATACAAAGAATCTTCTCTGATCACATGAAATCAAAAATCAGTAACAGAAGGAAATTAGAAAATTCACAAATATGTGGAAATTAATATACCCTTAAATAACCAATGTGTCAAAGAATAAATCACAAGGGAAATTAGAAAGTGCAATGAGATGTATAAAGATACCAGACTCTGGCTGGGCGCGGTGGCTCACGCCTGTAATCTCAGCACCCTAGGAGCTGAGGCAGGTGGATCACCTGAGGGTAGGAGTTCAAGATCAGCCTGGCCAACATGATGAAACCCCATCTCTACTAAAAATACAAAAATTACCCAGGTAGCCAGGCACAGCGGCTCAACACCTGTAATCCCAGCACTTTGGGAGGCCAAGGCAGGCGGATCACGAGGTCAGGAAATTGAGACCATCCTGGCTAACACGATGACACCCCATCTCTACTAAAAATACAAAAAAAAAAAAACAAAAAAAACTAGCCAGGTGTGGTAGCATATGCCTGTAGTTCCAGCTACTAGGGAGGCTGAGGCAGAAGAATCGCTTGAACCCAGGAGGCGGAGGATGCAGTGAGCTGACATGGCACCACTGCACTCCAGCCTGGGCGACAGAGACAGACTCCATCTCAAAAAAAATAAAAAATTACCTGAGTATGGTGGCATGTGTCTGTAATCCCAGCTACTTGGGAGGCTGAGGCAGGAGAATCGCTTGAACTCAGCAGCCAGAGGTTGCAATGAGCCACTGCACTCCAGCCTGGGTGACAGAGCAAGCCTCTGAGTCAAAAAAAAAAATAAAAATAAAAATAAAAATAAAAATACACAGACTCCAATTTATGAAATTTGTGGGATAAAGTAAAAACTTATGAAATATAGTTCTCAAGAAAATGTGTAACTATAAAGGCCTATATTATAAAAGAAGGAAAATCTCAAATCAATAAGCGAATCTTCCACCTTAAGAAACTAGAAAAAGAGGCCAGGCACAGTGGTTCACGCCTGTAATCCCAGCATGTTGGGAGCCAAGGCGGGTGAATCACCTAAGGTTAGGAGTTCAAGGCCAGCCTGGCCAACATGGAGAAACCCCTTCTCTATTAAAATTACAAAAATTACCCGGGCATACTCAGGAGGCTGAGGTAGGAGAATTGCTTGAATCTGGGAGGCAGAGGTTGTAGTGAGCCAAGATTGCACCATTGCACTCCAGCCTGGGTGACAAGAGCTAAATTCCATCTCAAAAAAAAAAAAAAAGAAAGAAAGAAAGAAAGGAAGAAAGAAACTGGAAAATGAAAAGCAAACTAGACTTAAAGTTAACTAACAGAACCAAGGAAAAAATAAGGATTAAAGTGGAGATAAACAAAATGGAGACTAAGAGAACAACAGAGAGAATCAATAAAACTAAAAGTTGGTTCTTTGAAGAGATCAACAAAATTGACAAACTGTTAGACTGACCAAGAAAAAAAAGAGAGAAGACTCAAATGACTGAAGTCAGGGACAACAGTGCGGACTTTACTAACAACCTTACAAAAGTCAAATGGATTATATAAGAATACCATGAATAATTCTATGCAAGAAATTAGATAAACTACATAAAATGAACAAATTTCTAGAAAGACCAAACTACTAAAATGGACTCAAGAAGAAACAGGAAATCTGAATAGACCTATAACAACTAAAGAGACTGAATTAGTAACCAAAAAACTTCCAACAAAGAAAAGCCCAGGGCCAGACTGCTTCACTGGTGAATTTTACCAAACTTTTAAAGAATTAACACCAATCCTCAAATTCTTCCCAAAAAAAGGAGAGGAGAGAATACTTCCTTACCCATTTTGTGGGGCCACTATTACCCTAATACTAAAGCCAAAGGAAGATATCACAAGAAAACTACAGATCAATCAACATCCCTTATGAATACAGATGCAAAAATTATCAACAAAATACTTGCAAACCAAATCCAACAGCATGTTAAAAAGATCATACACTTTGATCATGTGAAATTTATTCCAGGAATGCAAGGTAATTCAATCCACAAATATAACATACAAATAAAGTGAAAGAAAAAATCGGGCTGGGCACTGTGGCTCACACCTGCAATCCCAGCACCTTGGCAGGCAGAGGCGGGTGGATCACGAGGCCAGGAGTTCGAGACCAGCCTGGCCAACATGGCAAAACTCTGTCTCTACTAAAATACAAAAATTAGCAGGGCGTGGTGGTGCACACTTGTAATCCCAGCTACTTGGGAGGCTAAGGCACAAGAATTGTTTGAACCTGGGAGACAGAAGTTGCAGTGAACTAAGATTGCACCACTGCACTCCAGCCTGGGCAACAGAGAGACACCCTGTCTCAAAAACAAACACACACAAAAAAACAGAAACCCATATGATCAAATCAATCAATGCAGAAAAAACACTTGACAAAATCTAATACCTTTTCATGAAAAAAAAAAAAAACTAAATAAACTAGGAATAGAGGGAACTTCCTCAACCTCTACAAAAAACCCACAGCTAGCATGACATTTGATGATGAAAGACTGAAAGCTTTCCCCCTACAGTAACAAAATAAGAACATACATTTTTTTTTTTTTTTTTTTTTTTTGAGACGGAGCCTCGCTATTGCCCAATCTGTAGTGCAGTGGCATGATCTCAGTTCACTGCAACCTCCACCTCCTGGGTTCAAGCAATTCTCAGTCCTCAGCCTACCTAGTAGCTGGGATTACAGGCATGCACCACCACCACACCCAGCTAATTCTTCTATTTTTAGTAGAGACGCGGTTTCACCATGTTGTCCAGGCTGATCTCCAACTCCTGGCCTTAAGTAATCTGCCTCGGCCTCTCAAAGTGCTGGGATTATAAGTGTGAGACACTGAGTCCAGCCAAGACACACACTCTTGCCACATTTATTCAACATATATTGGAAGTTTTACTCAAAGCATTTAAGCAAGAAAAAGAAATAAAGGCATCTAAGTGGGAATGGATGAGGTAAAACTATCTCTATTTGCAGATGACATGATCTTATACATACAAAACCATAAAAAATCCCCAAAACCTGTTACTGGTAATAAGTTTGGCAAAGTTACAGGATATAAGATCAATATACACTAACAATGAGCAATCCAAAAATAAATTTTTAAAAACATTTCATTTAAATTACCATCAGAAAGAATAAAATACTTAGGAATAAATTTAACCAAGGAAGTGAAAGACTTATACACAGAAAGCTACAAAACATTGTTGAAGTAAATTAAAGATCCAAGTAAATGGAAAGACACCCTGTGTTCATGGGTTGGAAGACAATAGTATTAAGATAGCAATATTCGGTGGCTCAAGCCTGTAATCCCAGGACTTTGGGAGGCCGAGGCGGGTGGATCACGAGGTCAGGAGATCAAGACCATCCTGGCTAACATGGTGAAACCCCGTCTCTACTAAAAATACAAAAAACTAGCCGGGCGAGGTGGCGGGCGCCTGTAGTCCCAGCTACTCGGAGGCTGAGGCGGGAGAATGGCGTGAACCCGGGAGGCGGAGCTTGCAGTGAGCCGAGATCGCGCCACTGCACTCCAGCCTGGGCGACACAGCGAGACTCCGTCTCAAAAAAAAAAAAAAAAAAAAAAAAAAAAGATAGCAAGGAATGGGTGAACCCGGAGGCGAGCCGGGTAGAGAGCTTGGTGATCGCCAGCCACCTGCACCCAGCCTGGGCACAGACCCGTCTCAAAGATAAGTAAATATTCCCTCTAAACCTGACCCTTTTACAGATCCAAAATATAATCCTCTACCAAAATTCATAACCAACAAATGCAGAAACGAGAATGAATTTAAAACAATGCTGGTAATTGTGTGAGCGTCAAAAAAAAAAAAAAAAAAAAAAAAAAAAAAGATAGCAATATTCTCCAAACTGACCTACAGATTCAAATACAATCCCTATCAAAATTACAACTACTGTTTTTGCAGAAATGAACAAGCTAATTCTAAAATCAACATATAATTGCAAGGGATGCTGAATAGCCAAAACAATCCTGAAAAAGAACAAAGAAGACTCCCACCTCCTAATTTCAAAACTTAGTTCAAAGCTATAGTAATCAAAACAATGTGGTACTGGCATAAGGATAACATATAGATCAAGGGAATAGAATTGAAAGCCCAGAAATAAACCTATATATTTACAATCAATTTTTTTTTTATTTGATCAATTGGTTTCTAACCGGGGTGCCAAAACCATTAAATGGGGAAAGAAAAGTCTTCAACAAATGGTGCCAGAATAACCTATATCTGCAGGCAGCAGAGTGAGAATGGAGCCCTATCTCATAGTATATATAAACTCAAAATTATTCAGATTTAAACATAAGCATTAAAACTATAATACTGTTAGAAGAAAACATAGAAGAAAATCTTCATGACATTAGATTTGTCAGTATATTGGATATGATACCAAAAGCACAAGCAACAAAATAAAAATAAGTTGGACTTCATAAAAACTTTAAACTTTTGTATATCAAAAGACACTATCAAGAAAGTGAAAAGACCAAACACAGAATAGGAGAAAATATTTGTAAATTATATATCTGATAAGGGTCTAGTGTCCATAATATATAAATAATTTTTACAAGTGAACATCAAAAAGACAACTCAGAAAACAGGCAAAGGATCTGAATAGACGTTTCTCCAAACAACATATGCAAATGGTCAATAAGCACATGAAAAGATACTCAACATCATTAGTCATTAGAGAAATGCATATTAAAACCACAATGAGACACCAATTCATACCCACTAGGAAGGATATAATAATAAAAAATGGAAAATAACAAGGGTTGGCAAGATTGTGGAGATATTGGAACCCTTACACATTGCTGGTTGAAAGAAAATGGTACAGCCACTGGGGCATTTCCTTAAGAAGTTAAACACAAAATTATCATGACTCAGCAATTCCATTCGTAGGCATCAAATGAAAACAGGTATTCAAACAAAAACTTGTACAGAAATGGTAAGAGCCGCTATTTATAATAGCCAAAAGGTGGAAACGACCCAAATGTCCATCAGCTGATGAATGGATAAGCAAAATGTGATCTAACCATACAGTGAAATATTATTCAGCCATGAAAAAGAATGAAGCACTGATACCTATTACTACATGGATAAAACCTGAAAACATCAAGCTAAGTAAAAGAAGCCAATCAAAAAAAGCCACATTTATATGAGCCTGATTATGCAAATTGTTCAGCAGAGGCAAACTCACAGAGACAGAAAGCAGTTAGAGGTCACCAGAGGCCGGGGGAAGGGAGGACTGGGGAAGGCCTGCTTCATGGGTAGTTTCCTTTTTTGTATAATGAAAATAGTCTGAAATTAGACAGCAGTTATGGTTGCACAACGTTGTCAATATTCTCAAAACCACTGAAATGTACACTTTAAAATTGTTAAAATGGTAAATCTCATATTATGTACTTTTTTTTTGGAGACGGAGTCTCACTCTGTTGCCCAGGCTGGAGTACAGTGGCACGATCCCAGCTCATTGCAACCTCCATCTCCCAGGGTCAAGTGATTCTCCTGCCTTCTCCTGCCTCAGCCTCCCGAGTGGCTGGGATTACAGGCATGCACCACCATGCCTGGCTAATTTTTGTATTTTTAGTAGAGATGGGGTTTCACCATGCTGGCCAGGCCAGTCTCGAACTCCTGACCTTGTGACCTGCCCGCCTCGGCCTCCCACAGTGCTGGGATTACAGGCGTGAGCCACCACGCCTGGCCATGTACATTTTATCTCAAGAAAAAAACAAAAAAAGAATCACTAAGGAAGGCGGTAAGAAACAGATTCCTCAGCTCCACCCCTACAGATTCTGACTCCGTAGGTCTGAGGCAAGTCCTCAGGTATGAAGATATTCTTTAAATCTCCACAATAGGCCGGGCGCGGTAGCTCAAGCCTGTAATCCCAGCACTTTGGGAGGCCGAGACGGGCGGATCACGAGGTCAGGAGATCGAGACCATCCTGGCGAACACGGTGAAATCCCGTCTCTACTAAAAAATACAAAAAAAAAAAAAACTAGCCGGGCGAGGTGGTGGGCGCCTGTAGTCCCAGCTACTCGGGAGGCTGAGGCAGGAGAATGGCGTGAACCCGGGAGGCGGAGCTTGCAGTGAGCTGAGATCCGGCCACTGCACTCCAGCCCGGGCGACAGAGCGAGACTCCGTCTCAAAAAAAAAAAAAAAAAAAAAATCTCCACAATAATTCTAATGTACAGCCAGTTTGGAGACCTCCGCTTTTATTAATAAATTCTTGCAAGAGTTTGACCTTCACTCATTCATTGATTAATATTTATTGAAAGCCTTCTATGTGTAGGGCCTATAAGGTACCAGGGAATATAGATGAAAATGAAGAGTCAATTCCTTCATGGCCTTTACTAAGGGAGAAAGAAAACAAACATAAAATACAATTTGATTTCCAAAAGTTTTCAGTGAACATCCATGTTCCTCACTTCTTTATTCACACCCCCTTGTTGCTAAATCAAGTATCACTGTGTCAGCTAATCATTAATATGAGGCAGGTGTTCTCACTAAAGAGGCAAGTCCTCCTTACTGAATACACAGCTCAGGAAAGCCAGTGCCACTGGAAGGTGTCAGTTTGCCACCAGGTTCACACCTCCACAGGCTTCTTTGGAGGGCTAGCACATGAAGACTACCTTTCCAGACTTCAATATGAACAAATGAAAACTCATTATTATCCTTTCAATACTCAAAAGTAGTCACAGACTCACCAGCTCCTGAGCACAAATACGTGCGATAAAAACAGAGATCGGCTTACCTGCGCAAAAGCCAAGTTCAGCACCGTTTCAGAGGCCAAGTACTGTAACCGGTACTCCTTGGAGAGGGCCAAGGCCTGTAGGAGCATGGGCAGCGCGATGGTAGGGGAGGAAGATCGCCAGTACAGCTCTGCCACGGACAGTAGGACACTGACCGTAAAGAGGAAAACACAGGATGAGAAGATCCACCACCATGTCTCCGTGAGATGCACAAGAGACCCCTTACCTGATCACCATTTCTGTGTTCTTCAGTTTCTGACAATGAACCAACAATTTTTGTAAAAGCTTATGTGCCTCTGACATTTGGTTCTGAGCTTGTAATACAACCGCTTTCCTGAAACAGAATCAAAATGAACACAAATGTTTTAACTAGTCACTTTGAGGGTAAGAATCGCTATTTATTCAATTAGACTATAAACCTCCCAAGGGGAAAAACTGTGCCTGATTTAATTTTTGTTGAAAGAATAAAGTGTATGCGTGTATGAATGTGTGTGTAAGCATGTATGTGAGCATGCTATGTATACACACATACATATATGCAGGCAGGAAAAATTCTGGAATTATAGATAACAGCATGTTAATGATTATCTCTGGGAGATACTTATTTTCTTAATTTTACTTGTCTGTATTTTCTTTTTTCTTTTTTTTTTTTTTATGGAGACAGAGTCTCACTTTGTTGCCCAGGCTGGAGTGCAGTGATGCAATCTTGGTTCACTGCAACCTCCGCCTTGTGGGTTCACGCAATTATCCTCCCTCAGCCTCCCAAGTAGCTGGGATTACAGGTGCCTACCACGCTTCGCTAATTTTTTGTATTTTTAGTAGAGACAGGGTTTCACCATGTTGGCCAGGTTGGTCTCAAACTCCTGACCTCAAGTGATGCACCCACCTCAGCCTCCCAAAGTTCTGGAATTACAGGTGTGAGCCACCACGCCCAGCTGCTTATCTGTATTTTCTTATTCCCAGTAATAAATAGGAAAAAAAGTTTTTTTCTAAGCTAAAATAAGTTAATGCACATATAAAACAAAAACAAAACAATTTACCAATTATTTTATTCTGGGATTAGATTTTCAAGGTTTCTTACCTATAAACACCCTCTATGCTATTGAGAGCTGTGATTCCTGTAACAAGTGAATCAGCCAAATGATATTTGCCATCATTCATTGCTCTGTCAAACTGTATTTTCTGATCACATAGCATCCATAACTAGTAAGAAAAAAAAAAAAAACACAATTAAGTACAAAATGGCAAATGTTCATCTTACTCAATGAGTATATAAAAATATTTTGGATTGCTTAGCAAATACCCTTACAATAATTCACTCACATTCTTTTTTGGGGGTATTTAAAATTTTTTTTAAATATCTCAAGTATGTGAAAAAGCACAGAGAATACAATAGCAGATAGATGTGTGCCAACCATCAACTTTGTCAACTCACATTTTGCTTTATCTGCTTCATATACTATTAGATACCGATGAAGTCCTTTGCAAATTCTACTTCCCTTTCTCTTTTTTCAAAGTAGGCACTCAATTTGGTGTTTATCATTCTTATTCATGTTTTTTATACTTTTACAACATATACACTTGTCTTTAAACAACATAGAGTATGAGCCTGTGTTTTTAAACTTTGTATAAGTAATATCATACTTGTAAACATCCTTTGACAAGTTCCTTTTTAGCTCAATATTATTTTTCTGAGGGAAGATTATATCCCACTTTATATTATAATAAAAGCTATTATTATCAGAAATAAATCTAATGCCATGCAAAAGGCAGATTACCTGGGCGTGCTGACTATTAGGCGGAAATCGTTCCTTCAAGTGCTTTAACACTTCAGAAGCTGCAGCAAAACAGCCCTAAAGTAGAAAGACACAATTTGATCAACATAACCTGTGTTGAAGCCACACCTGCTGTACCATGCACAGATGGTGACAGATTCACCTGTTCTTGATGCAGCACCCTGAGAGATACTGGTCAGAGACTCAAATTTCTTTCTTTTTTTTTTTTTGAGAGAGAGTCTCGCTCTGCTGCCCAGGCTGGGGTGCAGTGGCACCATCTTGGCTCACTGCAAGCTCCGCCTCCCGGGTTCATGCCATTCTCTTGCCTCAGCCTCCCGAGTAGCTGGGACCACAGGCGCCCGTCACCATGCCCGGTTAATTTTTTTGTATTTTTAGTACAGATGGGGTTTCACTGTGCTAGCCAGGATGGTCTCAATCTCCTGACCTCGTGATCCGCCCACCTTGGCCTCTCAAAGTGCTGGAATTACAGGCGTGAGCCACTGCGTCCAGCCAGAGACTCAAATTTCTAAGGGCCATTTTTAAAAGACTAATACATTTTATTTTTAAAAAAATTTCAGGCCGGGCGCGGTGGCTCACGCCTGTAATCCCAGCACTTTGGGAGGCCGAGGCGGGCGGATCACAAGGTCAGGAGATCGAGACCATGGTGAAACCCCGTCTCTACTAAAAAATAGAAAAAAATTAGCCGGGCGCAGTGGTGGGCGCCTGTAGTCCCAGCTACTCGGGAGGCTGAGGCAGGAGAATGGCGTGAACCCGGGAGGCGGAGCTTGCAGTGAGCCGAGATTGCGCCACTGCACTCCAGCCTGAGCGACAGAGCGAGACTCCGTCTCAAAAAAAAAAAAAAAAAAAAAAAAAAAAAAAAAAAAAAAAATTTCAAGACCAGGCATGGTGGCTCACACCTGTAATCCCAGCACTTTGGGAGGCCAAGACGGGTGGATCCCCTGAGGTCGGGAGTTCAAGACCAGCCTGACCAACATGGTGAAATCCCGTCTCTACTAATAATACAAAATTATCTGGGCATGGTGGCTCATGCCTGTAGTCCCAGCTACTTGGGAGGCTGAGGCAGGAGAATCGCTTGAACCCAGGAGGCAGAGGTTGCAGTGCACCAAGATCGTGCCATTGCACTCTAGCCTAGGCAACAAGAGCGAAACTCCATCTCAAAAAAAAAAAAATTTTTTTAAAAATTACACACATAAGACATATCCATTCTAGGAAAACACTTACAAAATACATGTAAACAAGAACAGACAAATTACTTTTTTCTTTTCTTTTCTTTTTTTTGAGACAGGTCTTGCTCTGTTTCCCAGTCCAGAGTGCAACGGCTTGATCTCAGCTCACTGCAGCTTCAAATTCCTAGGCTCAATCAATCCTCTCATCTCAGCCTCCCGAGTAGCAGGGAATACAGGTGCATGCCACCACACCTGGCTACACAAAATACTTTTTTTTTTTTTTGAGACAGAATCTTGCTCTGTCATCCAGGCTGGAGTGCAGTGGCGTGAGCTTGACTCACTGCAACCTCCTCCTCCTGGGTTCTAGCAATTCTGATGCCTTAGCCCCCACCTCCCAAATAGCTACAAATACAGGCATGTGCCATCATACTCAGCTAATTTTTGCACTTTTAGTAGAGGCAGGGTTTTGCCATGTTTGGCCAGGCTGGTCTCAAACTCCCGGCCTCAAGCAATCCACCCACCTCAGCCTCCTCAAGTGCTGGGATTACAGGCATGAGCCAATGTGCCCAGCTGACAAATTACTTTTGGGTTTTTGTTGTTGTTGTTGTTGTTGTTTTTATTGTTTGTTTTGGTTTTTTTTTTTGAGACAGTCTCACTCTGTCACCTAGGCTGGAGTGCAATGGTGAGATCTCGGCTCACTGCAACCTCTGCCTCCCAGGTTCAAGGGATTCTCCTGCCTCAGCCTCCCAAGTAGCTGGGACTACAGGCACGCACCACCATGCCCAGCTAATTTTTGTATTTTTAGTAGAGACAGGATTTCACCATGTTGGTCAGGCTGATCTCAAACTCCCGACCTCGTAATCTGCCCACCTCGGCCTCCCAAAGTGCTGGGATTACAGGCTTGAGCCACCACACCTGGTGACAAATTACTTTTAATCTCAGAAAAGATAATCACAATTAATGTTGTGGCATATCTCCCATGCTTCTTTTATGCACATAAACTGAAAATATATAATTATTCCAAAAATAATATATATATATTTTTGAGATGGAGTCTCACTGTCTCACCCAGGCTGGAGTGCAGTGGTGCGGTCTCAGTTCACTGCAACCTCCACCTCCCAAGTTCAAGCAATTCTCCTGCCTCAGCCTCCCAAGTAGCTGGGATTACAGGCATACACCACCACACCCAGCTAATTTTTGTATTTTTAGTAGAGACAGGGTTTCATCATGTTGGCCAGTCTGGTCTCGAACTCCTGACCTCAGGTGATCTCCCCACCTCAGCCTCACAAAATGCTGGGATTACAGGCATGAGCCACCATGCCCGGCTTACATATATTTTTATAAATTACTTATAACACTGTTTACCACATGGTAGGCATCCAATGAATATTTGTTGAATGAATAAATCTTTCAATGTCAATAAATACAGATCTATATCATCATAGTATTTTATCGGGTAACTCAATTATGGTACATGAAAATAATCTCCTAGTTTTTGATATTTTGGTTATTTCTAATATTTTCCATTTAAAAATGCTACAATGAATATCTTGGTGCACATAGCTTTGCATACTTGTCCAATTATTTCCTTAGCATAAAACCTTAGAAGTAGGCTGGATGCAGTGGTCATGCCTATAATCTTACCCAGCACTCTGGGAGGTCAAGGAGGGCAGATCACTTGAGGCCAGGAGTTTGAGACCAGCCTGGCCAACATGGTGAAACCTCGTCTCTACTAAAAGTACAAAAAAACTAGTCAGGCGTGGTGGCATGTGCCTGTAATCCCAGCTACTCAGGATGCAAAGGCAGGAGAATCGCTTGAACCCAGGAGGCAGAGGTTGCAGTGAGCCGAGATCACGCCACTGCACTCTAGCCTTGGCCCCAGAGCGAAACTCCATCTCAAAAACAAAACAACAACAAACAAACAAACAAAAAACCTTAGAAGTAGAAATGACAGGCACTTTTAAGTTCCTTGAGATATATTACTAAATTACCCTATAGAAATGTACCAAGTACTTTCATACCAAAACTCTGTGTGCTTTTCTTCCCCTAATACTGAAGTATCTTTGCTTATATAATTGGTGAAAGTAGTACCTTAACTGCTTTAAATTTAATTTCAATGACTAGATTGAAATGTTTTCATGTTTTTGGGCCATGCTTTTTCTGTGAATATACATTCATCACTTTTTTAATACTCTTATATTGTTGGGATGTTTATCTTTTTTTTTTTTGAGACAAGGTTTTGCTCTACTGCCCAGGCTGGAGTGTAGTGATGCAATCTCAGCTCATTGCAACCTCTGCCTCCTAGGCTCAAGTAATCCTCCCACCTCAGCCTCCCTAGTAGCTGGAACTACAGCCGTGTGCCACCACACACCACATCCAGCTAATTTTTGTATATTTTCTAGATAGGGGGTTTCACCATGTTGCATAGGCTGGTCTCAAACTCCTGAGCTCAAGTGATTTGCCTGCTTCAGCCTCCCAAAGTGCTGGGATTACAAGTATAAAGATAAACAGCGCCCAGCTGGGAGGTTTATCTTATTGATCCGGAAGTCTTTTCAATTTGTCTCAATCCTTTCATGAGGTAATGCTCTTTTTGTCTACATAGAAGCTCAGGCCACAAGTGGACTTTTATTTGAAGTGAATAGCAGAAATTACATTGAATTACAACAAAAGATCATTATTCCTGTGATTTTAACTGGCCAGTCTCACCAATTATTTTCATGACTGCCACACAGTCAGGCATGGGGATATAGATCCTGCAGTATCCCCCAAAAACATTCCCATTGTGGCCTACAATTCCTGAGACTGAGAGAGGAATGATATAAGATGAGCTAGAATTACACAGAAAGAGAAAAGGAGAATGGTTATCTTAGAGAAAGAATTCACGGCCGGGCGCGGTGGCTCAAGCCTGTAATCCCAGCACTTTGGGAGGCCGAGACGGGCGGATCACGAGGTCAGGAGATCAAGACCATCCTGGCTAACACGGCGAAACCCCGTCTCTACTAAAAAATACAAAAAAACTAGCCGGGCGTGGTGGCGGGCGCCTGTAGTCCCAGCTACTCGGGAGGCTGAGGCAGGAGAAAGGCGTAAACCCGGGAGGCGGAGCTTGCAGTGAGCTGAGATCCGGCCACTGCACTCCAGACCGGGCGACAGAGCCAGACTCCGTCTCAAAAAAAAAAAAAAAAAAAAAAAAAAGAATTCACTCTACTTCCTCTGGGTTGCAAGAGGAAGCTCAGAAAGCAGTTCTGAGTTCCATAACTTATTTATAGGCTTACCAAAACCCCAATTACTCCCATACCACAAAACAAAGTGCACCATGAAATTGACTTGGAGGCAAGTTTCAGAAGCAGATACAAAAGAAATAAAAGAGTAACTGGAGACTCAAGATAAAGTTGCCTTCTCTGCAGCTGGCCAAACTTAATTTCACAGGTGCGAGTCTAACTTGTCTAATTAAAAATGTGACAGTCGTCAGCCCAGTAAGTATATATATCCACATGGCTGATGTTCTAAAACTAGAAAGATCTAAGGCAAGATGAAGAAAGGGGTAAAGGACTGACTTAAAACAAAAAGGCAGCTACCTTCTAGTTTTGTACTAAAAGGCTTCCTAACACACCCTGGCTGTTGAAGCCAAACAATGATTGGATCAGCAGGTTTTTCACATAAGCCCAGAGGTGAAAGGGGGATGCAGATGGCATTACTAATAGAGACCCAAAGAGCATGGTTACTTTTCAGGGTCTTACTCCCAGGAAAAAAACACAAAATTCTAACAAATGGCCTTGGACAAAGTTACAAGGCTAAAGAATTGAGCCACAAGGCACTGTGACTCACACCTGTAATTCTAACACTTTGGGAGGCCAAGGCAGGAGGATCACTTGAGGCCAGGAGTTCAAGGCCAGCCTGGGCAACACAACATAGAAAGATTCCATCTCTAAGAAACAAGAATTAAAATAATTAGCTGGGTGAGGTGGTGTGCACCTGTAGTCCCAGCTACTGGGCAGGTTGAGGTGGAGTTCAAGGCTGCTGTGAGCTCTGATTGTGCCACTGCACTCCATCCTGGGCAACAGTGAGACTCCATCTCTTAAAAAAATAAAAAATACACTGGGTGTGGTAATCCCAACACTGTGAAGCTGAAGTGGGAGGACTGCTTGAGCCCAGAAGTTTGAGACTAGCCTGGGCAACATAGTGAGATTCCATCTCTACAAAAAGATATTTTAATTAACCGTGTGGTCACATGCTCCTGTAGTCTCAGCTACTGAGGAGGCTGAGGTGGGAGGATCACTTGAGCCCAAAAGGTTGAGGCTGCAGTTTGCTGTGATTGCACCACTACACTCCAGCCCTGGTGATAGAGCGAGACCCTGTCTCAAAAAAAATTAAAAATTGGCTGGGCACGGTGGCTAACGCCTGTAATCCCAACAATTTGGGAAGCTGAGGCGGATGGATCATTTGAGATCAGGAGTTTGAGACCAGCTTGGCCAACATGGTAAGAACCCATCTCTACAAAAAATACAAAAATTAGCTGGGTGTAGTGACACACACCTGTAATCCTAGCTACTTGGGAGGCTGAGGTAGGAGAATCACTTGAACCCAGGAGGTGGAGGTTGCAATGAGCTGAGATCGCACCATTGCACTCCAGCCTAGGTGACAGGGTGAGACTCCCTCTCAAAAAAATAAAATTAAATTAAAAATAAATTTAAAATTAAAAATAAAAAGAATTGAACCAAGACTAAGGTTTTTGAAAAGTAGTTTTCTATTCTAATAGTAAAAAAATAATAATTTCGCCAGGCACGGTGGCTCACATCTATAATCCTAGCACTTTGGGAGGCTGAGGAAGCAGATCACACGAGGCTAGGAGTTTGAGACTATCCTGGCCAACATGGTGAAGTCTCATCTCTACTAAAAATACAAAAATTAGCCGGGTATAGTGGTGTACACCTGTAGTCCCAGCTATTCGGGAGACTGAAAAATGAGAATTGCTTGAACCCCAGAGGCGGAGGTTGCAGTGAGCAGAGATAGTGCCACTGCACTCCAGCCTGGGCGACAGAGCGAGACTCTGTCTCAAAAAAAACTAAATATTGGCCAGGCACGGTGGCTCATGCCTGTAATCCCAGCACTTTGGGAGGCCGAGGTGGGTGGATCACGAGGTCAAGAGATCGAGACCATCCTGGCCAACGTGGTGAAACCCTGTCTCTACTAAAAATACAAAAAAATAGCCTGGTGGCATGGTGATGGGCATGGTGATGGGCGCCTGTAGTCCCAGCTACTTGGGAGGCTGAGGCAGGAGAATGGTGTGAACCTGGGAGGCAGAGCTTGCAGTGAGCCGAGATTGAGCCACTGCACTCCAGCCTGGGTGACAGAGAGAGACTCTGTCTCAAAAAAAAAAAAAAAAAAGGCCGGGCGCGGTGGCTCAAGCCTGTAATCCCAGCACTTTGGGAGGCCGAGACGGGCGGATCACGAGGTCAGGAGATCGAGACCATCCTGGCGAACACGGTGAAACCCCGTCTCTACTAAAATACAAAAAAAAACTAGCCGGGCGAGGTGGCGGGCGCCTGTAGTCCCAGCTACTCCGGAGGCTGAGGCAGGAGAATGGCGTGAACCCGGGAGGCGGAGCTTGCAGTGAGCTGAGATCCGGCCAC